TAGATAGATAGATAGATAGATAGATAGATAGATAGATATACACAGAGAACATGAAAAGGTGAGTGTTGCCATACCAACTGTAACAAGAGTAATCAATTAAGGTGGGCTATTATCAGCAGGAGAAAAAAAAACTTTTGTAGTGATAATCAGGATGGCCCATTTCAAACAGTTAACAAGAAGGTGTGAGTAACAGTAGGGGGGAAAATATCATGGGGAAATAGTTTTTAGTTTGTGTAATGACCCATCCACTCCCAGTCTTTATTCAAGCCTAATTTAAGGGTGTCCGGACTGAAAACTATTTCCTCGTGCTATTTTTAGCCCCTACTGTTACTCACACCTTCTGATTATCACTACAAAAGTTTTTTTTTCTCCTGCTGATAATAGCCCACCTTAATTGATTACTCTTGTTACAGTTGGTATGGCAACACTCACCTTTTCATGTTCTCTGTGTATATCTATCTATCTATCTATCTATCTATCTATCTATCTTCCTACTGTATTTTCCACTCCATGCATCTGATGAAGTGGGTTTTAGCCTATGAAAATCAAGGGAAGCTGCAAGCATCTATTGCTGTTGGTGCTGGTCTCTAATAACAGGTTTCCTGCATTCAATCTGCTGCACTAGATACTTTCCACTAGTGAGAGAGAAATGGGAAAGTTTAACACTTCCTTAACTATCCTTGTACGGGGCTGAACATTGATTAGGGAACTTTCTCTCAATTTCAGGCTTTATCACTTTACTAATATATCTTTGACCCCATGAAAAAAGAATTTCCAACCAAAACTCCGAGGAGTCTGGTCCGGCCTCTTTCTCTCTCCTCCTCTTGTTCACTTTGTTTTTAATTTTGTTTTATTTAGGCTGGTTTTGGTTGATCCACTTTGAGAGATTCTGGCACAACTGAAATGGGATTTAAGCCTTTTTTCTGGGTGGTAGCAGTGGATCTTTTGTTGCGGATATTTGTGCTCTTTACCTTTTGCTTAAGACAGAGCTTTGGCCAGAACATTTTGGGCATCTTTGACAGCATCATTCAGAAAGCTGTTCAGCATGTAATAGGTGGTTCCAAAGGAAACTCCTCCAGATAACAAAGGACCAATGATTGGTATAAAATCTAAAGCCTCTTCAGCTATCATCACTGCAGCACATGCAGATTTAGTCAGAAGACTCACTACCCATTCTTTTGATATTGAGCTGGCCATAGGAACTGTTTTAATTACAGACTTCAGTTCTGCAACGGGCTTGCCAACCTGCTTAGCGAGTCTAGTAAGGGAATTATCATCCAAGCCAAAGGCAGTGAGGTAAAGTTTCATGTTTGCCATCAAAATGGCTACATCACAAGCAAATGAGAGACCGGGAAGAGGAATAACGGCAATAGCACATGACACAAGGGCCAGTTTCCAAATATGTTTCTTCTGTTCAGCCTTTTTCTTTTCCAGGATCTTTGCCGAGATGTTGGGCAGGCCCAGGATGAAAGCATGTCTCTTCTGAGCATCTAGCTCATTCTCCAGTGTCTCCTGCAAGAACGGGAAATCATACTTGTCCCAGTTCCAGCTGCAGATCAGGAAAACCCGTGGGGAGACCTCACCTGCATCCCTCAGGTTCTTGACGCAATTGTCCCGGATCTCCTGCAGGATCCGCACCTCATCGTAGGTGCTGGGCCGGCGGGTCTGAGCTGCGTACAAGTCGGCATCCACTTTGGAGCGCACATAGTATAACCTCTTTCCCATCTTGTGAATCTCCCGGGCGAGTGTGATGTGGTGGAAAGTGAAGCGTTCTGAGGTAATGATGATGAAGAAGTCATAGCGGCTGAAGTTTATCTGTTTGAGGTAACTGCTTGGCTGAAAACTTGGTGTCCCAATTCCCGGCAGATCCCATACTGTCACATTGGGGAGTACTGGGTGTGGATAAGCCTTTGGATCCTTTGTTGTTTCGATCACCCCAGTCTTCGCAGCACCGTCGTCTTCATCTCCCAGGCCCCGGATGGCGTTGACGAAGGATGATTTTCCAGAGCCCGACTCTCCTGTGATGGCGATGTTGAGTGGGATTTTTTCTAATGATTCCAGCTCCTCCTTCAGTTTTGCTGCTACGCCGTTGAGGTTTCCTGTTTCATAAGCAGCCTTCAGCTCTTCCAATTGCTCTCGGGAGAATTTTCCGCCCATGGCAGCTCCTGGCAATGGTACAGCTGGTCTTACCAGAAAATCTTAGAAAAGGAATAGAAAGATTCTAACAATGTATTATTAACTGGTAAATTCCAAATGACCTGCTCACATGGGAAACTGTAGTTTGCTGGGGGTGAAAAAGATAATTTCACCAATCTCAGTTTAACGTGAATGAGTTTTCAACAAAGGCAGATCAAGTTTGCTATCTAGTCACTGCCTAAATAATGATGTTAAAGTAGAATTAAGGCTGCCCAGTTCTGCCTTATGTTTGGGGAGTGGCCAAATGCAACCCTCTGAACACTGAAATGCAGAGTTAAGGTACCACCTCACACCCCGCACACCTCCAGCCAACCGTAGCTCTCTGCTAAGAAAGGTTTTTGGCCACTGTGATGGATCTCTAAGAAGGGACTACAACTGCAATTGTGCCCACAGAAATCAAGCCTGGATGTGCACAGGCAGAGGCAGGGCCACACAGAAGGCAGGGAAACCCTCTGAAGTGTCCCATATCTGGCCCGAAATTTAAAGTTGCCCCAAGCAGTCCTGCATTGCCATTGCAAAGTCCCCACACTGGCTGCTCTGTCTAGCAACAGGTTTCACTTGCCAATCAAAAATTCAGCAGGGCAGCCAATTGACATCAGCTCCAAGCTGAGTCACAGAGCCAGGAAAAGGGAGGTTTCTCTACTGGCAACACCGAATGTGGCCACTCCCAAATATGCACCAATGGGAAAATCCAGAGGCAGGCCCACTCCTATTGCAATCCTGCCTGGCAAGATCTTACTAGGCCTTGCAAACTCAAGACAGATTTAGCCAATCAGGAAGGTAAATAAGGTGATTGACAGACCAATATTAACTCCTTAGGCTGGCCTGTGCTGCTGCTGGATTGATGTCTCCTGGAGCAGAGACAGACCTACAGAGAGACGCAGTGAATGAGCCATGGGTTCCAGGCACAGGGTGGGGGATAGCCCACTTCTCCCCACCTGGTGCTTTGGTTTGAGGGATTTAAAGCCCCTGAAAAAACCTGGTGCAAGAGGTAGCCCCCAGCTCCCTATGCATGGGAGGAATACTTGTGTGTGGGGCCAGAAGATCGTCTAGATCTCCTTCAGGATCATGGGCAGCGGGTATCGTAGATACAGGAAGACTCTGCCTTCCCAAACTGCCTGACGTGGCCCCACCCATGCTCCACCTCCAGACCCCTCCTGTCCGCTGTTCCTGTGCCAGAGGCTGGGGGCGGTGGTGCACTCCTGGGGCCACGCCACACCTGTCCTCCCAGCACTGGAGCCACTCCGACCGCCCAGCGCTGGGGGCTGGGGGCGCTCCGGCCGTGCCGCCTGCTCAGTGCTGGGGCTGGTAGCTCGGCTGGGAGGGGGGCTTCATGGGCAGGGGGGCTGGCCGGCCAGGGGTTAGGCCGGGCAGTGTGGCCCAGGGAGGCCTAGGGAGGCTGGGGCCACGTCACCTGTCTCTCCGGCGCTCCAGGGGCTGGGAGCGCTACCCTGGGGCAGGGGCCAGTGGCCACTGTGTGGAGTGGCTAGGGGGCACTGGGCAGAGGCCAGCAGCCACAGTGGGGGTTGGGCTCTGGTGGGTGCAGAAGGGGCAGGGCCTTGGGCAGAAGGGGCGGGCTGGGGGGCTAGCCTCTCCAAGCCAGAGGTTCACCCACCGCCCATGGTCAGGATCTTCTAGATAGCTCCTCCTCCTTTCCCAGTATATCTTTATGTCTACACTGCACACCACTTGCAGTAGCATGTAAGGTATGTGTAGTTACACATGGCAGTGAAAAGCCGGCTGCATCCACACTGTGGGCAGGGAGGCAATGTGACACTATACTGCAAAAAAAAGCAACGTAGACCTGATGTGTCCTAGGAGTTCAGGCCTGTCTTTGCTCACCTAAGCCGTGCGTAGCCATCTACATTGTTATTGATACGTGTGCTGGGGCGTGTGCAGTGTTCTGTTACTCTACATGCCACTGTAAGGAGTGTGCAGTGTAGACATACCCTGAGATCCGGGCTAGCCAAGCGGTGGTGGGGATAGTCAAAAACAGACTAAACAAGTGCTTAGGGCCCCAAGCAGCTCAAGGGGCCCCCATTTTAGTATTACCCCCTCAGAAAAACTGTTCATCTTAATTAACGTAGAGTATTTAACAAGAGTATCAGGATGTATGATGGTGGTATATTTTTTTATCTCTAAAAATAAAGCAATTAGTATTTTGAGGGGTTGGGTGAGGAGTAAGGGAGGCAAAATATTCCTGTTAGGACCTCCAGTGGGATATCACCACCTCTAGGGTTACCATATCTGAACTTTCAAAAAAGAGGACACTCCATTGGGGGGGGTAGCCCCCCCTAGCCACTCCCTCCCACTTCCCACCCTCTGACTGCCCCCACAGAACCCCCAACCCATACAACCCCCCTGCTCCTCATCCCCTGATCGCCCCCTCCCGGGACCTCTGCCTCTAACCACCCCCCGGGACTCCACCCCCTATCTAAGCCTCCCTTCTCCTTGTCCCCGACTGCCCCCTCCTGAGACCCCCCTCACCCTAACTGCCTCCCTAGGAACCCACTCCCTACCTGTCCCCT